TCACAATCTCCTAATGATTGGCTCACAGTCACCCAGTTAGCTTTCATGCCTAATGCAGGACTAGAACTCACTGTCTCCTAGTGATTGGCCCAAAGTCACCCAGTTAGTTTTCATGCCTAAGGCAAGATTTGAACTCACAGTCTTCCACTTTACTAGACCAAATTGGTTCTCATGGCAGAACCCATATCCCCATGGCTCTTTACACACACACACACACACACACACACATATATAATTCTAAGTAGTAACTGGAAAAACTCACCTCTCTCCAACAATTGGGGTTCTTCTAATGAACCCCAGAGAAGCAGTTGAAAAAGGCTACAGATACTACAAAAATAGGTTTTTCCAATTTCTGAAATACAGTTTGCTCTTTGCTTTCAAGTTCATGGTGAGGTATAGTGAGGTGACCAATAAAGAGCCAATTTGGTGTAGTGGTCAAGGCATCAGGCTAGAAACTGGAAGACGGTGAGTTCTTTTCTTAAATGTGTGCCACTGATGCATCTTTCTTTTCTTCGAACAGGGAGCCCTTGGCCAAGACAGACAACTACAAGCCAACACAGGAAGAAGGAGGAAGACTGATGGCAGAAGACAAGAAGCAGAAGCCTGGACAGGTAATTTAAAGATCTTATTCAGTTCGCAGGGTCGCTCCTCTTTTTGTTAGAAGTTATGGAACTTGCTGTGAGGATGAACGTCACAATTTTATTCAGTGGAGGCCCGTTTCGCTTTCAGGCTGTTTCGGCTTTTATCCTTTGGAGATTAGATTAGATTAGATTAGATTAGATTAGATTGGATTGGATTGGATTGGATTGGATTAGATTAGATTAGATTAGATTAGATTAGATTAGATTAGATTAATTGGATTGGATTGGATTGGATTGGATTGGATTGGATTGGATTGGATTAGGATGGAATGGAATGGAATGGAATGGAATGGAATGGAATGGAATGGAAAAGCAGAGTTGGAAGGGACCTTGGAGGTCTTCTAGTCCAACCCCCTGCCTAGGCAGGAAACCCTACACCACTTCAGACAAATGATTGTCCAATCTCTTCTTTAAAACTTCCAATGTTGGAGCATTTACAACTTCTGCAAGCAAGTAGTTCCATTGATTATTTGTTCTCACTGTCAGGAAATGCTCTCCCAAGTTCCAGATTGCTTCTCTCCTTGATTAGTTTCCACCCGTTGCTTCTTGTCCTGCCCTCAGGTGCTTTGCAGAATAGCTTGACTCCCTCTTCTTTGGGGAAGCCCCCTGAGATATTGGAACACTGCTATCATGTCACCCCTAGTCCTTCTTTTCATCAGACTAGATCTACCCAGTTCCAGTTGTGGAGGTTTGATGGTGTTACGGATATCATTGCAGGATGGAAGCTGTTCCCCGTAAAGCTGCAATTGACTCATAGTGTTTTTGTCAATGCCAATTCTTGTTCTTATTTTATTCCCTTGATTTAGGTAAAGATTTCAGCATTCCTGACTTACCTGAGAACAGCAGGGTCGTTCTTCTGGGTTTATATTGTACTGCTGTTTGCCTGCCAGCAAGTTTTCTCATTCTGCCGTGGCTACTGGCTCAGCCTGTGGGCCAATGACCCCGTTTCCAATGGGACACAACCTCATACCCAGCTCCGCGTGGGCATCTTTTTTCTCCTAGGAGTCACGCAAGGTTTGGCTCATTCCCATGTACAAGTAAACAAAGAAATATTTATTTATTTACTAGCCGATAACCCGGCATTGCCCAAGTATTTATTTATCCTAATCCTATATTAGACAGGAAGAGCCCTGATTTTGGTGACTCAGAACAAACATAATTTCTAATGTTGGATCTTCCCCCTTAGCAGAGAGAGCCCCCTGTGAAGCCATTACCATGGCAACCCCACAGCACTGTACAGTAGACGCCATTTTAAGGCAGTACGGTAGAAGCCATTTGAAGGCACAACAGGCTGTATTTTAACAGAACACACACCCCAAGAGGTGTTAGGGGTGTCTTACCCCCACAGTATTTGTGTAGCAAGTTTGGCTGGAATTGCTTGAGGCATTCCAGAGTTATTCCAGAACATACACACACAAACACAGCCATCCTGACGCAATCAATGAATCAATCAATGTATATAGCTGCCCATCTCACTTTTACGGGATGATAATCCTGATAAGAAAAGGATACCTACTGCCTGAAACAGCTGGACTCTTTCATCTCCTGTTGCAGCCATTGGGAAATTTGGATCGGTTGCTGCGGTGTTTTTGGCTGGGGTCGTGGCTTCCCGTAAGCTCTTCCAGCACCTCCTGTTGGATGTCCTCCAGTCTCCAATGATCTTCTTCGAGCAGACTCCCAGCGGTAACCTACTCAACCGTTTCTCCAAGGAGATGGACGCAATTGATTCCATCATCCCAGATAAGCTGAAATCTTTGCTGGGCTTCCTGTTTAACCTTCTGGAGATCTACATTGTGATTATGGTGGCCACACCGATGGTTTTAGTGGCTATTTTGCCTCTGTCAGCTTTATACGTTGCTTTTCAGGTGTGTAGCATCTTCGGAATAAATTATTATAATCATGAGAAAAAGGAGGTGCTTTTTAGCCATTCATGTGCTTACAGGCTGTTTGCGGTATCCAACGGTCCAGTGGTGGGATTCAATTTTTTTTTACTACTGGTTCTGTGGGCGTGGCTTGGTGGGCGTGGCTTGGTGGGTGTGGCAGAGGAAGGATACTGTAGAATCCCCATTCCCTCCCCACCCCACTAACCTGCTTTCCAGCTCCGTTCTCCTGTGCAGGGCAACCAAAGAAGACCCAGCCGATCAGCTGGGACTCAGGAGGCAGAGAATAGATGGGGTTGGTGGGGCCAGTCAGAGGTGGGATTGGCCGGTTCTCTGAACTACTCAAAATTTCCACTACTGGTTCTCCAGAACTGGTCAGAACCTACTGGACACCACCTCTGCCATGGTCCTATGATCACAATTTACAATGGTTTGCCGAAAATGGGTATTTACTTCCTGTTTTCAGCAAAATTACACCCATAGCGAACCATATGTCTCACCCGATTTATGACTGTCATGACTCATGAATATGATGGACAGGCTCCATGACAGTCACAAGTCAAGAATTTCCTATGTGTTTGTGTGTATGTGTGCATATTTATATTTCCTATTTCTAAAGCACCCATTTTTTCAGAGATTTCTGTGTGTGTGTGTGTGTGTGTACAGATAGATTTTAGATCCAGATGGATGAATGGATAGATAGATAATCTAGATGGATGGACTGATGGATGGAAATAGATAGATAGATAGATAGATAGATAGATAGATAGATAGATAGATAGATAGATAGATCTGGATGGATGGATGGATGAAAGGAAGGAAAGCAGGAAGGAAAGAAGGGAGGGAGGGAGGGAGGGAGGGAGGGAGGGAAGAAGGAAGGAAGGAAGGAAAGCAGGAAGGAAGGAAGGAGATAAATAGCAGCATTTTATTATTCAGATAGATAGATGATAGATAGATAGATAGATAGATAGATAGATAGATAGATAGATAGATAGATAGATAGATAGATAGATAGA